ATCAGCCAGCCTTTATATTCACTCAAAAATCCCCCAAAAACGAGACTTTTTGTCAGTGTATTATTAGTGCTTTTGTCAACCCAATGGATGATTTTTTAATGGAATTCAAACACTCATTTTGTGACATGAAATTACAACTTGTTGTTAAGAGATCTTAGTTATTTTATGCAACTCACAATTTATTTTATGAAAATTACTAACAGAAAATAGAAAKTGGTAATTAATTATGGATTGTTGCCAATCCTTTCTCTTCCTCTCCCTCTTCCTCTTCCCCTACCCCTCCCTCCATGAGGATTAATTTGTMCTGTTGAAAACTGCCTTACTCCTCTCCCTCTGCCGTACACAACTACTGGTWCTTTATCTTGKGTCTYTTCACAGTTTCCTGYTTGACCTGTTTTTCTCATTGACAAACAGGTTGTGCCATCAGATTCAYTTCTTACATTTGATTGAGTTTCTMTCCCTTGCAAAAYGTCTCTACCTAATCCTGGAATACTATTTTCTAYRGACTTCAWGCTGTAATTCTTATCTTCTGAGGRTTTCAATGGCTGTGGAGTGAAAGTTTTCTTGGAGAACTTTATATGATTATCAACRACTTCAATRCCAAATYGTGACACAAATTCCTTTGCRGCATCAATGTTTMCAAAGTCAAGTATTTCKGARAATATTKCTAGAGGAAATCTGCAATTAGGATTGCTAAATGCAGTGTTCAATATTGCAATGGCRTTGCATCGTACAGTWAWGGAATGCTTCTGAACAAGGCAGCAMGCTAGAAATGGCAATTTCTTGGTAAYTCTAAATACATACACATAGTTTCCGAGTAAAAGYATCAGACTCAAATCCAAAGACATTTTCAAGCATTGCTGYGTTTTGATGTTGAGTGGCAACYTTAAAATCCGCTCAATGGCTTCATGAGAGCCAAGATTGTGGAGTAAGTAATATGCCTCAAATTCTGCTCTGTTRTGCGAAGCCATGTTGCAATCATAAAGAACAAGAAGCCTTTTTAGACACTCTTGAAGATGGCTGTCATTGATAAACGGATCATAGGACTCAAGAGRGCAGCTGCAAAGTTTATAATGAGCRAATATATGAAACCTCACAGCTTTTTCTAAAATTTCTACCGTGGATTCATTCGCTATTCTTTGAATGACCAAGTCTTGTCGTATGGCTCTTATTCGATCAAAAACAAAATGATAAACAGTAGACCAAGGATGATCAGTGCGGTCAACGATCTCGTCAATGAGATAGTTCATAGTTTTGACAAGAACTCCTTCGGGTCGAAGTTCAGAAAGACTCGTTTGTTTTCCAGCAGCGCATCTCGAGTATTCTTTTACTGGTAGGTTTTTGTGTGAGCTCGATGGTGTTTCGAAAACACTAAGTCTTCTTTGCTGTTGTCTTTCTTGATGTTCTGCCGAGGAACACATCGCTTGACATGTTCCTAAGAGAGTTTCCGAGCAGTCGCTTCTGACATCCATTRATGCACAAACGAATTTGATTCTGTATGCTCTGGAATTATTCTTTTCTTCTCAAACACCACATAAAATGCTAGTCTTGTTTATAAATTGCAGCTCTGAATACCTTAAATCGCCAGATTTCTCTTTTAAATATACAAATTTTAATGGGATTCCCGAGAAAAAGCAAATTCTTCCAAAATGTCGTCCGCCATTTTGAATTTTGATTGATCTCCGCTGACCGTTTACAAAAACATTCCTAACCAGGGGGTAGAGATGTAAATTGTCAAACATTCGATAATGCTTAGAGAGTTTATAGATCAAAAACCATAAAATTATGTAAGTATTTCAAGATATATAGTTTTACTAAATACTTTTTAATGCGATTCTCAATTTATGTATGCTTAATTCACATTTKTTTGGARATATTTGCTATTTCTACCCCTCCCCACTAAGTCAAATATTGCATAGCAACTGTCTTCAACAACAATATGGCGGATATCAGTTGAGTTTAGGGGTTTTAGCCTTTTCCAGCTACAAATGGCTACTTTAATGAATACTACGACCTCAAAAGGAGCTGGAAACTATATAGGAGAAACAAGAAAGCAACTCAGAGACGGTAAACTAGTTATTTCGCGGAGACAATCTCTTGACAATC